GACAGGCTCAGCGGTCCGGCCACCCGAGCTGCCACACTGACCCCCGGAATCCTGCCCACAGTTTGGCAGGACAAAGGGTCTTTTCTGCTTCATAGTCACTAGTGCGTCCTCCTCACAATCAGGGTGGCACGGAGGTCCCCAGTCCTCGCCTGTATGGGGGGATGAACGTAGCACCTCACAGATGGCTATAAACACAGCCAGTGCAGGGAGGGCCATCAGTTTTCAAGACTGGCTTCAAGGCTGGGAGAGGTGGCTCACGCCTGTAATCCCAGCACTTCGGCAGGCTGACGCGGGCAGATCACCTGAGGTCGGGAGTTCGAGACCAGCCTGACCAACATGGAGAAACCCTGTCTCCACTAAAAATACAAAATTAGCCAGGCATGGTGGCACGTGCCTGTAATCCTAGCTACTCAGGAGGCTGAGGCAGGAGAATCGCTTGAATCTGGGGGGCAGAGGTTACTGTGAGCCAAGATCGCGCCATTGCACTCCAGCCTGGGCAACAAGAGCGAGACTCCATCTCAAAAAACAGAGACCGGCTTCAAGTCTTTGGCTTCGCTACCAGTCAAGTCAGCTGTGGGAAGAGTTGGGTTTTTCTCTTAAAATGAAAGTCAGATGTGGGGGCTGGGGTGTCACCGCACAAGGTGTGGGGGCTGAGGCACTTGGGCAAGGTGGTTTTTCAGAGACCACCCCAAGAGGCTGCTGGAGCCAGAATGTCACCCCTAACGACCTAACTGGGAGCCCTACCGCTAAAGCATGGTTTCACCCTCCCCCAGGAAGTAATCAGGAAAATGCAGACAAATGTTCCTTGGAAGTGTTATCTTTAATGGGGAAAATTGGAAATAACTGGGAAGAACCCAAGTGCCTGATAATTAGGGGTTAGTTAGGACATCTGTCCAGTGGGATACCACATAGTCATCAAAGTCCACTTGCAGGACAGTATCTTCTGACTTAGGAAAATATTGTGATAAAATGTTAATGAAACAAGCAGAAGATAAAATGATACACCTAATAAGATGCTAAGATGCTAATTTTGCTTAAAATATGTTTTGACAGGCTGGGCGTGGTGGCTTATGCCTGTAATCCCAGCACTGTAGAAAGCCAAGGCGGGTGGATCACCTGATATCAGGAGTTTGAGACCAGCCCGGCCAACAAGGTGAAACCTCCTTTACTAAAAATACAAAAATTAGCCAGGTGTGGTGGTGTGCAACTGTGTAGTCCCAGCTACTCAGGAGGCTGAGGCAGGAGAATCGCTTGAACCAGGGAAGTGGAAGTTGCAGTGAGCCGAGATCGCGCCACTGCACTCCAGCCTTCAAAAAAAATGTGTGGTGTCACAGGTGATTGAAAAATGTTTTTCTTTTGTAAGGACTCAAAATGTTCTAAAGTTAGCATGGAACATCAATGATGGCACCAAAAATAAAAAATGAATGCCAAAGACGAGGAGCTGTACTCCTTCGGTGAAGCTGTCTTTGGTCCTTCCCCAGGCGTCAGGACGTGGCATGAACACACGTGAGGGAGAGGGCCAGCTTTGTGGGTTTGGGACCCACACATATCACCACACGGGGCGCTGAGCTTAGAAAGGTCCCAAGCTCTGTTTAATGCTCCCCGCCATCACCATCTTGTAATTCTCAGGCATTTTCAAACGAGGGCGCCACATTTTCACCTTGCCCTGGACCCTGCAAACTCTGTAGCCCACCCTGGTGAGGCGTCCTGGGCCTGAACACCTTGACCTTCCTCTCCAGCTTCCTGAATGCAGCAGCCAGCTTTCTGGAGTGGGTTTCTTTTCCATGCAGTGACTCCTTATATTTTTTCCTGGTTTTCCAAAATTAGGGTCCCAAGGACAGTAACCTTGGAAAATCAAAGTCTATATTGGCTGTCCCCTGGGACAGTGGCTGCCTTGTTAGGAGGTGGGTGGGGTCACCAGCACAGCCTGGCATTGCTAAATGGGCTGTCGGCAAAAAGAGGAAACAGGGGTCTGTTCTGTGAAAACTCACATCCATCATTTGCAGGGCTTTTTCTGGAGACTCAGCTCTTTCTGTACACCTCACCACATTTTCAGAAGTTTCTTACAAGGTACTTGTTTTCTCCAGTAAAACCAGGTGCCTCTGACTCAGGGCCACCGCCTATGGACCTGCCCCACATGTGTTTCTACCAGTTAAGGCTCAAAGATGCCTGGGTGACTCTGTTCTACAGATTCTGTGGCCACACTGCCAGATAGGTGGTGAGCTGCCTGTCTCCGGAGGCATTCAACAAAGGCCGCACAGGAAACACCTTCCCTGGCATTAGCCTAGAGAACCTCACCTAAGGATGCCATTGCCCAGGGCATCTGGCAGCTCTTAAGGCAGGGCCTTGTCATCTCACCTGTCTGCATTCCGTATGCCATACAGGAGGATAGGTCTGACCCACTCAGACTCTGGCTGCCCAGCCCTCTTGGCGGGGAGCCTCAGCGACTATTTCCTTCAGGATAAGGGAACAAACACCAGAAGGTGGGGTGAGGCAAGTGATGCAAAATTGACATGAGATGCCAGAGAGAAATTCCTAAGCTGCCCGGAAGCAGGTGAGGTGTGAGAGAAGCCAGCAGCCACAGGCCCCCTGGAGCCAGCCACTGAGTGCCTGCTGTGTGCTAGTGGAGTGCTGGGTGTTCACAGGGATTGTCACTGTTCTCCTAACAATGCAACTGAGGCAGAGCTCTTTTTTTTTTTTT